TTTATTTTGAAAACAGACAGGTTTCGGTTTCTTTATTGCTTGTCAGGTGATGAGGTAATGATGGTAATCTACCAGTCTGTACCTTTTGTATGCACAAAAATCAATTCAGGGCCAGCGGAGTAAGGGATGAGGATATGCGTTCGTATTAATAGGCAACCCAAATCTACGCCTCTCATGTGCCCGACTGCTTGAGTGTGTATGCTTATGTATGATTGATATGAGGCATAAAACTATGAATACTCCACAAAATTAACTTTTAGCTTTATTTTTGGTTTCAGCTCTTTTTCGGCAAGTATAGAAGTAGTTAAAATATTCTGAAAAATCGTGGAGAATAATGTTATCGGTAAATATTCTCTTTTCGGTAAAAATACCGAAAAATCCGGTTCAAGTCCATGCACAGACAATCTGAAATTTGCAATATGAATTCATATTCTAATTAATTAAACCTTCTTCAGTGTACATGTTTTGTGACTGGGACCAAGGGTTGCCGGATCCCACACATGTGTCACTCGTTGGGGAGTTTTGAAATGTAATAATTAGCTGTTATTCAAATAATGTCTAATTATATAACCTAGAATATGTACTCGTGAAAACAGAAAAATTTTGCAAATTTCTAGTTTTTTGCAGGTTTTAGGTTTGCTGGTAGCTTTACGACATATACTCGTATTTGGGTATTTCTTAATCGCTGTAAAAATAGTGTGGATGTTTGTTCAGTCCCTGAACAACAAAAAATATTCAACTTTATGGATGTATGGATATCAAAAAAACCTGAATGGTTTTGTAGGAATATCAATCTAAGGTGCCATAATGGTTCTGATGAAGGGCAACTAAATGAATGAATGTTTGGAAACGAGCAATATCTATGAAATGTCTGGTAGAGTCTGTCATCAAGTAGGTGTTTAATGGCTGTCTGCAAGAGGTTTATAAGAAAAAAACACGGGAGGTGATGTTAAATCAGTAAAATCGCATATCAATTTAAGAAAATAATATAAACATGAATAAAAAATCAACAATAGTAATTAAAACATGAATTTTATTCAAAAATCAAACATTTCGTTAAATTTTGACTGAATTATATGTAATTTCCTAATATTCAATAAGCTGGTGATGTTTCCAGGACAAGCTGTCATCTCGTACTTTGACAATATTTTGTTTTCAATATATCATAGGTATTGGTTGCTGAAATTTGTTGATTGGATGTTGAAGCTCATTCGCTGTATTTACCGTATAGGTGGAGAATATCGGACTGTTAATTTGACAACCTTGGTGAAATCCACCCTAATATTTGTATAATCTAGGCAATGGCGACTGCTACTATTATCTAATTGTTAAATCAATTTTAGAAGCTAAAGTTTATAGATTGATTGTGCCGTGAAGCATGTCTGTTTGCATTAAATGCTCAAGGCGGTTGTATCTCCAGTTCAAATACTATAAACGCAGATATTTCTGAAAACGTTTGTCTCCAGGTTATAGGCTGGCTAAATGAGATTGTTGATGTGTGTCATTCTATTGATTAACCTAACGGTCACAGCTCACGAGATCATCAAAGACCTATATGCTTCTCCATGATAATGATAAGAAAAATCGTCGTCCTTGCTACTATAATTAGAATACAATATTACACGCAGCATGAAACACCGTATTCTGTACTCAAAGATAGTGCCTTAACATCAGGCTGGCTATGTAAGCATGCTACATGCCAAAGACTATTTAATGGGCTAAAAGTTTATAATTATAGTCACAATTTTTCTCCATTGCGACGTCAAACTTGATCTTTAGGTATTGAAAGCAGTGAACTCTGTACAAGTAGCCGGCTTAAAAGGAGTAAATTTCAAGGTAAATGAACTTTTCGGCTCATAAATCTGTCTGAAAGCGCATGTCATGGAAGTCTGGCGTGGCAGCATATAGATCAATTCCTTTCATGACGCCACGACAGCAGATTATTTACCTGCATGAAACTTCCTGCTGTATGGTCGAGACAGGATGTCTAGTAATGAGATTGGGAATAATCTAAAGCTAAGGGAGTCGAAATTCTTAGTGCAAGCAGGAAAACGATTTTGTTGGAAGTAAGAAATATTATTTTGAACCGTTAGACAAAGGATGTTTAATTACCCAAAGCCAATCAAAGATGTTTTTATTTTGAGAGACTGTGACGCCACAACAATATCTCAAAATACAGAATGAATTATGGTGTCTAGAAAGTCCATTACATACCTGAATAACGCTTCAAATAAGCAATATGAGCTTATAGAATAATAAAGTAGTTCTCAAATGTACGAATCGATACGATATTTGAGAACAGTACTGTCTCACTGGTACGGGTAATGATGAGGTAGCACTTAGTCTTGGACAGGTTTCAGAGGAAGATTGTCGAACACTATGGACAGCTTAAACCAGTTTTAGAAGTATAGTAGAAGAGTAGATTCTAAACCTGAGGTGGAGAATATCTTCAAACATCTTCAGTAGAGCTCGTCGTTGTTGATCTTTGGACTAGTCACAGTACGTCAAGGTGTCACCTCCACGTCACTAGTGCTGGCGATGGTACACCTTGTGTGTGATGCTGTATGCATCCATCCCCATTGTAGATTGGCCCTGAAACTGGTGCACATAAAGGTGGCAAAACATCTATAGTCGTAGTCACCGTTCATGGCCGGTCAAAGTAAGACTACCAGTATCCCTTTATATACGAGTATCTCCATCGCCCTCATATGTTACATACCCATGCATCCTACCTCTGTGTGTAAACGTTTGTTCGGCAAGCTGCTCAAAGACTTACGTTTTTTAGTTGTGTGTCTTCGTCTAGAAAACTTTGTCGTTACGTATGAGTGATCTTTAATCATATTTGTCAGAGTGACAACTTACTTGACATCGGCGTACAATTCGAGTTGTCCTGTTACCAATCTTCAACATAAAATTGTACAATGCCCGAAAGTACCATCAATAGAGAAGGCCGACAGCTCGTCCTAAATGTATTAGAGTATTTCCAAGATAATAATGAAAACAGTGGTAATCTGTTACCCACAGCATGCGTCCTGGAGAGAGTAGCAGATGCGCTGAAGATTAGCCTGCGCAGTGTTCCACCCATGGTACGGACACTTGATATGTTTACTTACTTCATATAGCGTTGATGACATAACAGTGAATACAACTATACTAAGATACGTATGAACAGTCTTTCGATGCTATTTAATACAGCGAAACTGGCATGCCTGCTTGTAGCCCAATGTACTGTGCAGTTCAGACTATTGAATGCTGTTAGATTGAATAAGCAGTGCTTGTAAGAAACGCGGAGTTGGGCGCACTGTAGACACTCACTTGAACTTTACAAACAATAGCTCTTTTGGCCCTCCTCTATCAGATATATACATTCCGCACGATCTGGCTGGAGCTATTCGTAGTCGGGATTGATCCTGAATCCGAACAGGTCCTCGTGAAAGCTTTCGGTGTTGGCAACGGAGCTTTTAAAACTTTTCGAATTGTTCGGTAATAAGCGGGAACGAAATGAACTAAAACAAACACCGTTCAGACACGCGATATGCCAAATCCACAGACCAGCCACTATCGAATGCTTTTATCGTTACACAGACATAGGCGTGGGCGGATTTTTTTTATAATTATGAATGCAAGTACTGAGCTGTGAGTATATATGAAGAACAATCTCCTGTCTCTGGTATTCGACAATTAACTGAAAGATTCATAAGTGTCAAGAAAAAGAGAGCCAACATGCTAGAATGTAGCCAGGGACAGACTTACCTAATCTGAGCTGTTGGAATTTGTGCTTATCACTTTCCGCCAGAGAATACCCAATCCCAATCACTTATGCATACAACTTCATACTTGTCGTCCACCAACTTTCGATTGCAGCGTTTCCATCTCTTGGACTGTTGTCACAGGTATTTACTTTTCTGCCGTTCAGAAAATCTTGGAATACGGAATCTAGGAATAATGACAAGGGAGTTTGAGGCGGGATTTTTCTCTGTAAGCCTGATAGTATGTTTACGAATGTACAACTGTCTTTAACTGGAATTTGGAGTCTGCTTCTTCTAACGGAATTTATACACCCCCCCGCCCCTCTGGACAACATGGAAATTGTAAGTAAAATTCCAAGCACGCTATATGTAGCATGTTTTTGGGGAAGACGCCAGTCAATGTGTATATTGTTTTTCTGGTCAGCGGTTGCGGTCCCACATGAAGATACCAATGAAAGGAGAGATGGCTCGTTTTGAATTTAGTGATTGATAGGGTATTTTTGGAAGCTTTCAATATCGTAATTTGTCTTCTTGAAGAGTCAACTTATTGAAAGAACATTTCGGAAAAAATCCATTCAAACTAAGCTTAGGAAATATCAGTTGTTCTGTTTGGACTCAGAGCACGATATTTTGAGTAAATCGGTTCATAGGCACATCTTTATCGAAGTAGTGATTCAAAATCGTCTCTAACTATTGATTTTTTGATATGTCAATTTCACCCACTAGTTTAGCTGGTGAACATGTTTATCAGTTATGTAGCTCTGGGGTTTCCAGTTCACTTTTTCTGATTACCTAGGTATGATGTCCGGCTAGGGTCAACTTTAAGTTAAGCTGAATCTCAACTTCTATATTTTTGTTGCCTTAGATAGCCTTAGATACCTTTAAAACTTCAGAGGAACTTAAGCAGACGGTTAGGCTAAGAATGTATCTCCTAAATGTGGATTTCCTAAGCCGAAATGTCAGTTTGACAATCAAATGGTCTTAAACTATGGATTCAATGATTTCCTTGAAAAATCTCGAATATTGATATAGATATCGCAGAAATTGATGAAATTGGCGGAATAAATCTGTGGAGAGCTTTGATGAAAAGATAATCTTGCAAGAACTCACTTCTCCTTTTTGTACTAACCTCACTGATAGATAAGTCATCTTACCATTTTTATGTTTTGACCTACTGTCAATTAAGTTTTCGGTGAACTAAAACTGCAAATATGGAAAATTCTTCCAAGCTCTTCATATACAGGGCGTTAATTAAGTATGTACCATAAATTCAACAGGTGTCTCCTGATAGGCAGCAGCGGTGGCCGCAGTAGTAGACTCTTCGGTCTCCTGATCAGTCGCCGTGCGCTGTGCGGGTTCGAATCCCGTCCCAGGAGAAATGTTTCTCTTGGCTATGGATGTTGTGATTGTCCGTAGGTGATAGACGGTTTCTGACTGTCGAACGCGGAGGTACCACCCGGCGGATCTCGTAGGCGGAGCCAGAATGTGTGCATGTTGCATGCACACGTGTTCCCTCGCCAGAGTCCGTGTGGCGTTCCCCCTTTCCACTGTCTCCCCGTATAGCCACACGCTACCCAATGGGTGTTTAGGCCTTAGGCCTTCATGGTAGTTGGAGAAGAAAGAAAAAGTAATTTCAAAACAAAAAGTTCATATAAACATAAGTCCGCAAAGTTTTCGTTTTGAAGGTACACGATGTTAAAATCTAACAAAAAAAAGTTTTTTTTTTCTTAACTAACCTAATTTTTTGCAATTTGGCGGTGGTATTGATAACATTAAGGAGCTAATTTGTCCCTAACTTGGTTAAGTTTATTAAGTCCAGTGGTGTCTCGAACGGGATCTGAACGAATATTTGTGACAAAAAAATGTACGTTTTGTAAATGTAAATGACCTTTGTGGAATTTTTATTATTTGATTTAGCAAATAGAGATGAATGAATTTTGAATGTTAATGTGATCCAATTTAATTTAGTGTTTATTTGCTGTTGTTACATAATTATTAATTAAAAGTTATAAGAAATAATAATTTCCAAGAGGAGCTTTTCCCCATATTCCTTGTGTAGTCCAGGGACATGCAATTAAGTGGACTTTTTTTGCGAAAACTAAGCAAGATACAAAAAAGTTCAAGAGACAAAAAAGTTGTATTTCTATTTGCTTAATTCAAAGAAGGATTGAAATGCCCAGAAGTTATTATACGAACCAGAATATCTACCTGAGCTAACAATCGATTTTCCCATTTAGAAGCTTATGCAAGACTAGTAGAGATAACTGATGTATACGCTCTTCCAAAGACTGATAATAGTGCTAATTAAATCTATGGAGTAACTCAGATAAACTTTAACTTCTTAGTGGAGACACACCATTGATTTTAAAAGCTATGAATTTCAAATATTCATTATGTGCCTTTATAATATCAAGGATTTACTGGCTATAGATAGCACTCCATATGAGTGAGCCGTATTTCAGTTTGTCTCTTACGATTAAATAACAGTAAAACCGTATTTGCGACAAGCGCTCAGCGCTGTTTGGCTTACATGAAAATAAAATGTCAACTGATTATCAAAGTAGACACTCAGATCTCTGTTGCAATCGGTTCCTTCTGGTTCTGAATTATCAGTAGTATACCGATTGTTACTACAAAATAATACATTCCTCTTTACTGGATACTGACATATATTAATGTAACTAAAAGTTACTATATATGCACTATTGATATAACTTTATCGTAGCTGAGATTTGACCAAATCTGAGTGGCTCATTAAAAAGGTTGACCTTAACATTCGGACCAGGTGATGAGGTGCTAAAAATGGCCGTGCAATGAGACATAAGAGTTTTTCTTGCTGAATTGCATCCGCCTATGTCTATGTTTGAAAATGGCCACGTTTCTGTAGCTGGAAGCATGGCATACCGAACAACCGAGGCAGTTATGTAGCATAATTACGGGCTGTAAGTGCCGCCGCGCACCACGCCACTACTATGGCCGTAATGATTTGTAGGGATATTAGCTTTTCTCCTATTCCACCGCCAAGAATTATGAGCATACTCTACTCTTTAAAAGTGTTTGCTCAGCCTGAAAATTGCATGTTTGCGTTTGAACGGAGACCATAACGGCGGTCGATATAACTAACCTCAAAAATTTGCTAGAGTACACACGCTTTGACCTTCAGCATGTTAAGGTTTTCTATTTGTATTTGAATAATCCGTTTAACACTGAAGAGATGTGAGTTATCACAGTTTTATACATAGATATATGTGGCCACTTATACGTATAAAGCCATACGACCTTCTCTGTATCATTACAGTGATCTTGATGTTCCATAATTATTTTTCAACCCATTAAGTTAGCAAGTGGGAATTCAAGATGGCGAAGGCATTGCATAGAAGCTATATTTTACCACTGGAGTGACGTTTGGTAACTTCTATATGACGATTAGGCGCCATGTCACAGATGCCACACATACAGATACAATAAGGGCGATTTCATTAACTTTGGTATCACCAAACACTTGAAAACAATGACTGTGCTCACAAAATTCTTTGAAAACTAAATAACAGAAGATGTGGAAGTATGTGGGCCCTCAAAACTTTTTGAAGAGCGGAAGACGGCAAATTATTCTGAGTGATCGAATCTGAATGATACCACCATACAATGATGTGCTTTCTCATATTAGTTACATGTTACATTAGGCTATTCCTGATGATCATTCAAGGAGAATAACTCTGAAAGACACCAGACGCATGTTTTTATTGCTTGAATTACTTTTTAAAGGTATTGTTAGAATGTGCCACAGTGAATGTAGGTATTCGATTTCCGACAGGCTTCCGCCTCTTGTGGTATCCTGTAGCCATGTTGGAAATTCTTATAAATGGAACTACCGATCAAGTGATTCACCTCTTTATAAGCACTTTAAACATCTAGTATATAAATTTCACTGCCTTTCAAAATGGTGCAATAGCGGGCTGTTAAAGTTTGCGAGCTGTGTTGCAGTGAGTCTCCGGTCACTCAACAAAACTCTTAGTATCTAAGTTATATCAACGTTCATCATTTGGAAAGCTCTATCGGAATATACCATAAACAGTGGACATTCCTTTTCAGAAAATGGCAATTAACTACTTCATATTCGGATAGTCTCTTCCAAAGTAAAAAGGCACGTATCTCAGCGCCTTGATGACTAGTTGTTGACCTTAATGCACAATAACCATCAAATTTAACAGCTCTGGAGTACGCAATTTCAAAAGATGAGAGGACTTTATATTTTAGGGTTATACTCTTGTAGTACTCACAAAGAGCTTTGAATGGCGGTGATCTGTTTAGGAAATACATAAGGGAGGACCTTAAAGACAAGCACTGTACGTATTTTATTCAGCCAGACAATTATTTATAATGCATTTTCATTAGATCCACAATGCACCGATATTTTAGAAATACCAATATTGAACAGGTGCGTTGAAGCATTCTAGAAATCTTTCTTGGATCTACATAAGTCATTACTTGGCATAGCTCGCAACTGGATTTTAGACTACAGAATACTAAACACGTAAATTATATGAATACTGAATCGGAAAAAGTGAAACCAAGTAGGTTGTGCCATAAATTGCTATTAAGAAAATCGAATTTTGCAAACTTTTTGACACTCAAATTGATCAAATGCGACCCAAAAAAATTTTAGCTACATAGAAATTCAAAATGATATATCCAACCATAGTTTGATAATTCTCGAACAACCGATATATTAGTTATTTCCCGATATAACCAAAAGGTAGAAAAATGTCAGATAATAAATTTAAATGGTATTGGGATTCAGGTATTGATCCCCATGGGCTTTTGCGCTACTTCAAAAAATACTCATCAATTCCGAATGCATTCATGTAATTAATTAAGCTTATTGACGTCTCAAATTTTCCATGTTCACTTGTTCCTGCCCCTTACTGGTGAATGTATTTAATTGATTTTATCATTCGCATAGCAGTATCTTTGCGGCAAAATTGTATTTATAATCGAAGTAACTTCCAAGCTATAGGAATAGACTACTTCCAAGCATTTTTGCTGAAGTTATTTTAAAAACACTTGCTATATGTCACAAACAAAACAGCGCTGTAACAACAGTCCGACCCTGTATCGCTGGGTCAATCGCTGTTTCTGGCTGAAGTTTGCGCATCGACAGCTTGGGTTATATTTGTGCACTATGTGCCAAGAACATGTGGTACCGTACGTGGGCGAAAATCCACTCGTCTAACAAATATTAGTGACAGTGATTCTACTGGCACTTTACGGTGATATTAGTATAAGCGTTCTTTAGTTTCCTGGAAAGATCATAACAAACATAACTACGTAGAATATTATAGGGAGTATTACAGAGCAGATGCATCATAGGTCATAGGGCGTGTTGCCTGACTGAACGATGTCTGATTTGTGCCATTTAGCAAATCAGGGGATTGAGAGTTAAGCTCTAATCAACTGTTTGTGGTTACACATTCAACATGTAAAGGGTCCATTTTGTATTCATACTAACGATTCTCTATAATATAAAATGAAAGATTTCATAATAACATGATAAACCAGACCGCAAAGGTTTAAACTTCGTGGTAATTCCTGATCATGTTACTTTGTCAGTGTTTATCTACTAACGTATGAAATTAAATTCGTATGAGATTATATCTCTCTCCCATTAATTTTCTAATGTACATTAACGAGCCACTTATTTCTTGTTCTCTTATTGCTGGAGCACCGAGGACTGACGTAGAGAAATGCAATATTTTATAGAAATGTAGAAAATATGGAGCTGTAAAGAAGAAACAGTCTAAAGCGCTACTTTACTCAAACCGTACAAATTATTCAGTTGCTTTTACTGAAATGGCTATTCAGAAATTCTATAATTGTTTTTCTCCCGGTATTGGTTTTTTCAGAGAGTAAGCAAGTCCTTGACAAAGCATGTATTTCATTCCAAGAATTAAGACTAGCGATTGTCTAGATCACAATCCAAAGGTAACATCAAAGGATTTAACCTTTATACTCAACTTTGTACGTATGTTATATGGCGCAATCTGAAAAAGCGATCCATGCTAACCTTAAAAATACTATATCAATGCCAATAACATTGTCGACTATAAAGAGTCAGAACAATTTTTTTCAAAAATAAAAAGGTTCTATAGCCGTTCGATATGTCTAAAGTGGTGAAACAGTATCAGGCAAGACTTATGAATTCGGCACCTTTCCCAAAAACTGGAAATTTGCTCATGTCCAACCTATCCCAAAAAAAGGACCCAAGACCGACTCTCACAACTATAGGCCTACAGCTCTGCTTTCTGTTATAAGTAACGTGATGGAGAGCTGAATAAATCGCGAGCTTCTGGACTACCTCGAACATCACGGCTTGATTAGCAACAGGCAGTATGGTTTCCGGCACCAACGATACACTGGGAACCTCCTTACGTTACGCGGTTGTGGAGTAAACTCATCCAGTCTTTTGGTGAGGAGGTTCATGTCGCTGCTGTTAATATCGCGAAAGCGTTCGATCAGCTGTGGCACTCTGCC